AGTGACTTGGGAGGAAAATGCTGGTCCTGAGGTTGCACAGCATCACTTGTCTAGTTTTGCTGCGTTTCTGAGCCTGGAGCTGAAATACAGCTGAGGCCTAGATGTTATCTTTTCGTGGTGCCATAACCTTTTGCAGCTAAGATTCAGGATCTAGAAAAGGGTCTATGCATAAACAGATATACTAGACAGGAAATATAAATTTAGAATGCATGGGGAACCAGGCGGAGACCTACTCTCTAGTGGAGTAGCTACATGAATCTCTGGACCTATAGCTTTTTATTTACTAGAATATACATTTGTCCTTCATCAAAGCAAATAGACATTTCAATGGTAAGATTTGGTAAACAATAAACGGATCGTCAGGTTAGGGTTGTGGTCAGCAAATTGTGGCTCATGAACCACATGCAGCTCTTTGGCCCCTTGAGTGTGGCCTGGGGGAGTGTATTTTGAAGTGGCATTAGAAGAAATTTAAGTTTAAAAAATTTGGCTCTCAAAAGAAATTTCAATCGTTTTACTGTTGATATTTGGCTCTGTTGACTAATGAGTTTGCTGACCACTGGATTAGGGGATTGCCTTCAGATATTCAGCCAGCAGTAGGGTAATATAATGCTGATTCTCAGCTCTTGCTAAATATCAAAGTCCATCAGCCTTCTGATGGACTTCTCACATTTATATGTTAAGTACTTGTTTGTCTTAGCCACCAGCATATCCCATTTTTGTTTTCTTAATAAATTGGGAAAAGTGTATGCCATTTGCAGAGCTCAGGTCCTTTTAAGATTTTTAAATTCAGGGTAAAGGATTGAGTTCTTCCATGTCCTTTTAAATTGCTGTCAGGATCTAAGAAATCAGTTTACTGTTGATGCCTTTTTGGGCCATCAGTTCTTCGAGTCTCTTACCAATCACTATCCAACAGTTTTTTATAGGATCCCTTCTCAATCACTGTCCCCTGTGACATCACAGCAATGATATTCCAATTCTGGATGGTAGACAAACAGTCCGTCTTTTTTGGCTTTGTCCAGGGCAACTTAACTCCGATGCACAGCACATGACTGCTGCCATAGCAAGGCATCTTTACCATCCCCCATCTCTGGACTGTTTCTCCTCTGCCTCATCCCATCTGCAGCCACAAGTACAGAGTGAACAGTTCCTTTCTTGGATTCATTGTTGCAGGAATCCACACGGGTTTGGAGGAATTTTCTGGAAATATTCAAGCATTTCCTTGAACAAAGATTAATAAAGGGACCCTTTCACAAACTAGACTCAGAATTTTCTGTTTAAGCAAATCATTTTCCTTTGGCTTATTCTGACACCAGTGTAATTTCATGGATGTTTCGCAATCAGCATTATAAACAAAAAAATTTTAAAGTAATTAAGGCTCGATGTGATTTACTTACAGTATATTACTATTGCCCCCCCCCCCCTTTTTTTGTTTTAAATTGGGCACATGAAAGTGGGACATTCCTTAAACATATTGCATAGTAAGGAGCCTTACTATGAGATGAAGCATCAGTAAAAAATAGTTAATCTCTACGAATAGGCTCCTGCCTAGTACAACTAAGTTCTCCTGAATATTCACTTATTTCAATTTGCCAGTTTAAATCAGTCTGAAATAAGGCTTATTTTCTAACTTTATTTGTCTTTAGGTGTGGACAGTAAATGACACTAATTGGATTTCTACTATCAGTCTTTGGGTATATTGACATAAGCTTTCTTAGGGAAGCAAAATGCAAATTATTTACTTTTCTTTTGGAAGCCTAATGCGTTGACTTTTAATTACAGTTTTCTAGATATTTGAAGGGAACTTCCTTGTATTTTTCCCCCAGATTAATTTCTAGGGCACATTTTGGGAGTTTTGTTATTTTTTAAACTGTTTTATTTACCCAATATTTATTAAAATAAATTTTTATTGACTTTTTACAAAGAGGAAAGGAAAAGGATAGAGAGTTAGAAACATTGATGAGAGAGAAACATAGATCAGCTGCCTCCAGCATGCCCTTCGTTGAGGATTAAGCCTGTAACAAAGGTTCAGGCTTAACCCTTCACCAGAATTGAACCTGTCACCCCTCAGTCCATGGCCTGACGCTCTATCCACTAGGCCAAACCAGTTAGGGCTGTTTTCTTTCTTTTAAACAGAGCAAGAAACTTGGTTGCTTTTCAGATGCTGGCCAATGCTGTAACGTATACATACCAAGTAAAAGTAACTCTCTTTTTACTTATGGTGTCTTATTGAAGATGAGATTTAATGATAGAATAGTAACTTTTAGTTTACTTTTTAAATAGTAGCAGAAAAGATTTTTAAATTTCTCCTTTTTATTAAGCTTAAAATTTACTTTTAAATAGCATTCTTTTTTGCTATTTCTCATTTATGTATGTATGCAAATTTTTACTTTGGCCTTTACTAGAACCAATTGCTTATAAAAATACTGGCTTCTCATATAAGTGAAACTATATAAACCTAGATTATATTATAAAAAGCTAACTTATTAAGTAATTAAAGTATGCACATTTATTGAAAAAGCAAACCAAGTAAATTTATACATTTGACCTATGAAATATAAACGCTGTACCCTCCAACAGCCTATCTAAAAAGCAGGCTGCCAGAGGCTTTTTGTCTTAAAATTCCATTGCTGAGTAATCCAGTTTTGCTTAAGAAGTATTCAGCAATTTTGCCTTGCTCTCCCTAAGAGGTTGAAACCTTTATAACATTTAACATATATGTATATAAGTACAACACAGTTATTAATTTTTATTTGATAAAGCTTCCCACGTGATTTCAATTATAGTAGATTGGCCTCATTTAGTTCAAAATTATTTCTTTTAAGAAGAGAGTAAATCTTTGAATCATCCCAGGGCCCTTGAAATGTCCCAAGGCTATTTCTCAGTTACAGTCTTGAAATTTAACTTGGAAAGACTATGAAATATACATAACCTAAAGATTATATTATCCCAATATATACTTTTTATAATTATCCTAAAATATGTCAACTAAGTTTAAACTGTTTTTTATATTAAAAATTTGGTTCAGGCCATAGAATTAATCCTCTTTTTTAATCAGACCATATAAAGTATTATATGGTAGGTTGGAATTTTACCAAATATCATACACATAAGGACCACAATATATTTTGAACTACTAATTTCTCCAGAGAAAATACAAAAATAATTTTCTATACTTTATGCATTTTGTTATCACAACCATATAATTTCTCCCAACTTAATTTGAGCATTTAACTTTTAGAAGCCTCAAATTTTAGGTGGGAAGTTAAATACTTAGCATTTCCCAGATTAGTAATATCTTTACATTTTTAAGGATATATTTTTTAAAATACAAGACATGTTTAATTAATGGGTTCAATTCTGTCCTCTAGATTTTTCATATGAGGTAAACTTAGATTGATATTTTAGTATTTTGTCATTTTAAAATATATAGATATTTGACAATTTTTATTATTTAATCCAGCAAACTCCAAAGTTTTAAGTAACCAAAGACTTTGGAACCAGACTGTAGCTATTTGAATTTTAAGACCACCACATTCTTTCTTAGAGATAACATCTAAGGTTACTGCTGCAGAAAGCATGGTCAGTTCCCTCCTTCAAGAAAGAGCGAAGCCAGTCTTCTGCTGGGCTACTGGACCTCCACCATTAGTATACCTAACGTTATCACTGAAAAGCTCCATAACAAATCTTTCAGTTTAGTTATATCTACTTATCCACGTTTTAACAATTTTGAGATTTTAAAGTCAATTGTTATTATCTAAGGCGTGGTCGGCAAACTGTGGCTGGCGAGCCACATGCGGCTCTGTGGCCCCTTGAGTGTAGCTGTTCCACAAAATACCACAGCCTGGGTGAGTCTATTTTGAAGAAGTGGCATTAGAAGAAGTTTAAGTTTTAAAACTTTGGCTCTCAAAAGAAATTTCAATTGTTGTACTGTTGATCTTTGGCTCCGTTGACTAATGAGTTTGCCAACCATTGATCTAAGGCATTTACTTTGGCAAATTCTGTAACAGATATATCTTATTGACTATCAGTGGCTTTGATGTTAACTTTGGAATAGGTACATTCCATTATCCAAGAACTACCATTTATTATGGAAATAGTAATCTTGATGCCTAAACCGAGCCTGTACATTTTTCTTGTGCCATTTACGTCATCTTTTAGAGAAAAAACTATCTTGGGTTTATTCTATAGCATCTGTAAAGAGAATGGAGCTCATCTTTAAGAGGCCATCAAAATTCGGGTAAGGCACACCTTTCTCTTAATCCAGCCTTTTTCTCTTCGTGCCTACAGAAATCCCAAATTTATCCCTAAATTCTGCCAAAATTTAAGTAATGGACTGGGAAATAAAAACATGGTGAAATGAGACTTTAAATAGCTCTCTGGAGAGTGGGCATCCATTTTATAGGATTACCAAAAGACTTAGTAATTGATGGGGATACATATACCGCTCATATTCTTTCTACCCACTCCCCCATCCTGTTTGCTATGGGGAAATTCAGTAAAGGCCTGGCGACCTAAGTTTCTTTTCTTATTAAATTAAAGCCATGCTTAATAAACTAACAATAAATACATTAAGCTAAACAAAAAGGACAGATAAAACAATCAACAGACAATTGCCTATAACATATAGACAAGACTTAATAGAGTTCTTTTCATGTTGTATTTTACTCTCCATAGCATTAACTGGCCTGTAAAGTTACTTTAGCTAAAATCTGCCTGTCCCAAGGCGTCATATGGTAATTTTAGACAAAGCACCAAAGAGTCTCCTTGCAACTTCATCCTCTAGCTTCTGAGCCCTTCCACACTAGAGGTGGTGGATCCCAGGCCTTTTTAGTTATTACAGACTTTTGATTCCTAGTACAAATTACACATTTTGCAATTTGAACAAGAATCCACATAGTTAAAAATGGCAATTGTACACTCAGTGACTGGAGTCAGCAGCTTTTAAAGGACTTTTGGTGGGGTTTTTCCTGGGCAGAGACTTCTTTATGCACATTGGAGGGCAGATAATGGAATGTAGTCACCACAAGTGAAATATGGTTTCAGCAAAGGGAATGTCCATAGTGAAATGACCTGAAAAGCCAGTTCCTGGGTGAGGGATATCAATTCAATTGCTCATTCAAAACTAACACTAATATATCTATCTATATATCTATCTGTGTTTGTGTATATATGAGTGTTTCCCTTTTTCTTCATGCCCAGGTCTCTCTCTTCTTCCCTCTGTCTAGATTCCTGTTTTTGCCAACAGTAATTTTTTCCTTCATCTGTTTGAGTCTATTTTCTCTGTTCAGTTGTTTACTTTTAATCTCCTTAAATAGATGCTTCATTTCCAGGATTTCTGATTGGCTCTTTCTTAAAGTTTCAATTTCTTTGGTAAAGCACTCATTTTGTTCATGATGTTTTCTAAGTGCATTGAATTACCTGTCTATGTTTTCTCACATCTTGTTGAGTATATTCTAAACTGTAATCTTAAAATATCTATGACTTATATCACATACTTCCATATGTTCCAGCCTCCTTTCTGGAGATAATTTTTTTTGTTGTTGTCATCCTCATTACTGTGGTTATTCATGATATTTGCTGCCCTCCTTTGCTTAAGCATTTGTCTCTGAAGAGATCTTTCTACTACATTCCAGTAGATGGCGCTGAGTTGCAAGATTTTTTTTTTTTTGCCTCTGTGATCTCCCAGACTTAAACTACTGCAGCTTCTCTAAGAAAGTACAGCCTTGCCAAAACAGGTTTGGCTCAGTGGATAGAGCGTTGGTTTGTGGACTGAAGGGTCATTCGGGTCAAGGGAGTGTGCATTGGTTGTGGGCACATCCCCAGTGAGGGGGTGTGCAGGAGGCAGCTGGTCAATCGTTCTCTCTCATCAATGTTTCTAGTTCTCTATCCCTCTCCCTTCCTATCTGTAAAAAATCAATACAAATATATTTTAAAAAAAAAAAAAAAAAGAAAGAAAGAAAGAAAAGAAAGTACAGCCTTGCTTGCTGCTTGGGAGTGGGGTTTGTTTTGCCTTCAATGTAATGACCACCCCTTACTTCCCTGAGGTTCTGACTCTTTTGGGGATCAGTCACAGAGGGAATCAGCAGTTCTACTGGGACAGCTTTTGGTTTACAGATAATATGCTCCTTGACCTAACTTCAAGGGAAATGGGAGGCGAGTTTTGGCACTCCAGGTAGTAGAAGAGCTCGTGGTTCTGTTTCTTGGTCTGAAATATCAGTGCAGGCCCAACAATAGAGAGGTGCATGGCTCTCTCAGGCTAACTCAGACACTGTTTGCTCCCTTGCCCATTGCCCTTTTGGGTTGTCCCTCCCCCTATCCCTGTAGCTCAGAAGTGCCTGCTGCTCCAGCTTTCTCCCATCTCCCAGCCAGTGGAGCATTGAGCTCCCTGCTGCAGGGCTGTGTCTGTTGGCTTTCTACACTTTCCTCCCTTCTCTTCTCCTTGTTTATTTATTGCTGGTGGCCCGCATTCAGATGTTTCAATGCGCGGGTCTCTCAGTCATACCTCTGTGTCTGTCGAGCAGGAATTTTTTTGTTGCATTATAATCAGTTAACTTTCTGACATTTCACGGGGAGAGCATAAGCTCTCTAAGGCCACCATTCTTCTGATGTCACTCTAGAGAACAATTTAAGATCACTTTTCTAGTCCAGCATTTTTCTTCTCCAGTTGAGGAATCTGAGACCTATTGAGATTATAATTGTGCTTTTCTTTGGTCCTAATCTATAAGTGTTCTCCTGATTTGGAACATTGAAGAAAAATACTTCTAAATTAACAAAGTGATTTTGGGACTTTTGAGTGGTAAGTCTCAACAACTTTCCTGTTTCCATTTATTGCCACTACTGTTCCTCTGGACATTTATGTTCTCATGCCTAATTTTGTACAGTAATCTCTTACAATCATTTGATACAACCATCATAATAAATTATCATAAACTTAGAGGCTTAAAACAACAAATTTATTTTCTCACAGTTTTGGTGTATAATGGTCAGCAGGTGCACATTCCCTCTTGAAAGCTCTAGGAATCATGTTTCCTTCTGATCCTGGATTCTTCAACTTTTGTTGCCTACATGCGCTCTTTGACTTGGGACTGCATCACTCCATTCTCTGCCTCTGTACAGGCCTTCTCCTCTGTCTTTCCTTTAGTCTGGCTTCAAAGGTTGTTAGATTTAGATTAGTCTGGCTCCACAGGTTATTTTTTTAATTTTTTTTTTCATTGAACCCTTTACCACTCATAATTTTAAGCCTCATTCTTGACTCTGGGAAGTTTCATACTACTGAACCATAAGTTCCATGTACTTGTTTAGAGATGTCTCTTTTAAAACAGTAAATTTTAGATTTTTGGGTTATTACTGCATGTGATATAAATATATAAATACAAATATGTATATTTTTACTTATATTTTTATGCCTGCATTATTTTATATATATGTGTGTGTGTGTGTGTGTGTGTGTATATATATATATATATATATATATATATATATATCTGCAGTATTCTAGAATGCTGTTACTTATGAGAATTGATATTACATTAATGTCTTTGAAGAACTAGTTCTTAAATATTTCTGCCTAATCCGAGAATATTTGTATGTTCACAGGCTTTCCTGTTTGTATGTAACATTTATAATTAGACAAAGTAAAGTCAAAGAAGTAAATTCAATAGTATGGTTAAATATAATTTCTTTGGTTAGGAATTATTTACCACTGATTATAAATTTTGCTGCTAGAATAACAGCAAAGCCTAAGAGTATATAATTCTATAGCATTTTGGGGAATACATTTTATTATAATGATTAAAACTTAAATTTGTTTAGAAATTGCCATAGTTCCACAGGTTGAAATAGGAATTAAAAGAGCAAATTCATAGTATCGTTATGAAGTTCTGTTCTCCCACACCTTTCACCTCTGGTGGAAATAGTGCTGATTGAAGAACTATAGTTCCCCTCCAATGTTTTATTTTGAAAATCTCTGAGCTTTTGAATGTCTCAACTAATAGCCCTTCTAGGTTTTCTCTCAATTAAACATTTATGTGCACAGCATTATAGAGTTGGAAAGATTACCTTTTTGAAGCTAAGAGGCTTCTTGTATGTGTTTTTTTCACTGGCCATATGATGAGGACCAATCACTTCACTATTTAAAATGAAGTTAGATAAGTGCCCTCTAATTTCTCTTCCAGATCTAAGATTTTGTGCTTTTATTCTGAAAACTAGAGGCCTGGTGCATGAAATTCATGCACTCGGGAGGTGGGGGGAAATCCTCAGCCGGGCCTGCACCCTCTCGCTGTCTGGCAGCACTACTATTGATCACATTGCTGAGGGAGGCCCTGCCCACTCGCCACAGTGACACAGGATGAGTCGCCTAGGCCTCCCTTGGCTTGGTGATTGATCTTAGAGTTCCCCTGATGGATCGCCCTGCAGCGGGTGGCTCAGGCCTTCCTCTGTGGGGCAATCTCAGAGCGTCCCCTTCCCCCCCTCCACCCGAGCAATTGCCCCACCAGCCAGTGACCTGGGCGTCCCTCTGCAGGGCTATCATGGGACAATGGCGGGGTCCCCCGACCATTCGCATCACACTCACTTTGGCTGGCCTGGTGTCAGTGTGTGTCATAGCCTGGTAGTCCTGACAGTCTTTCTGCTATTCAGCTGTTTGGTCGATTTGCATATTATACTATTTTTATTATATTGTAGATACTAGAGGCCTAGTACATGAAATTTGTACATGGAGAGGTGTCCCCTCAGACCAGTCTTCACCCTCTCCAGTCTGGGACACTTCAGGGGATTTCTGACCGCTGGTTTCGACCCTATCCCCAGCAATCAGATATTCATTCCTTTTATAATCCAGAACTGCTGGCTCTTAACCACTTGCCTGCCTACCCACTTGCCTGCCTACCTGCTTGGTCACCCCTAACTGTCCCCTCCTGCCAGCCTGGTCACCCCCTCCGGTCTGGTTGCCCCAACTGTTCCCCCTCCCCCAGCAGCCTGGTTGCCCCACATAGCCTGCTCTTCAGTCGTTTGGTCGTCCCTAACTGACCCCCCTGCCATCCTGGTCACCCCACGCAGCCTGTGTTCAGTTGTTTCAGTAATGACGGTCCCTGGCTTTTTATATATTAGGATGAAGGAATTGTGGTTTTAAATATAAAGTAAGTCCAAGAGAACCTTTATTGATGTTCATTGCTTAAATAAAGTTATTTTCTTTTTTGAAATTAAAAAGTAGTGATTAGGAATAGATGGTAGAAATGACATTTTAGGAAGATCATTTTAGAAAGTCTGAAATTACTACTTAAAGATTAGTTGGGGTAAATATGATATAGTAGGGTGAAATCTTTATTTAATCTTAATATGTGGGAGGTATTGTAGTAGAAGTTTATAATTTTTGTATCTTTTATTGCTGTTGGTTACATGTAAGTCATTATTATAGAAACCTAAACTTTAAAAATTAGCACTTTGAGACTGATTTTTTAAAATCTTTATAGAAAATACTAGATCTGTCATTAAGAAATAAGTTAACTTTTATCGAACCTCTCTTCTAGATTTGTACTATCTAGAACTTTCTGCAATGAAACAATATAAGCTGTACTTTTCGTGGCTCACTAGGCACATGGGGCAATTGAGCATGAAATCTAGCTAGTGTAAATGAAAACCTGAAATTTCCGTTTTATTTAATTTTAATTTAAATAACCACAGGTGGCTTAGTGGCTGGGACATTGCTGTTCTAGGAAGTTCTGAACACTGTGCCAGAGGATAATTAGAATACTAGTTCTATTGTAGTTCTCTACTATGTCATTTCCGATTACTGCACTTTACCAGATCTTTGCTTAATCTGAAATGGTCTTCTTTAGCCCCGTGGTTGGTAAACTGCAGCTCCTGAGCCACATGTAGCTCTTCGGCCCCTTGAGTGTGGCTCTTCCACAAAACACCACAGCCTAGGCGAGTCTATTTTGAAGAAACGGCATTAGGAGAAGTTTAAGTTTAAAAAACTTGGCTCTCAAAAGAAATTTCAATTGTTGTACTGTTAATATTTGGCTCTGTGGTCTAAGGAGTTTGCTGACCACTGTCCTAGCCTATGAAAATCTTATGTTCAGAGCATATCTTAAATGATAACCTCTTGCAAAGCATTTCCTGATGTCTAGACTATGATTAATGGCACTTATTACAGCAGTTCCCATTTGTTCACCATGGATATGTTCCAAGAACCCCAATGGATGCCTGAAACTGTGGACAGTACCAAGCCTTGTATATAATACTAGAAGCCTGGTGCATGAAATTCGTACATTGGGGGGTTCCCCCTCAGTCCAGGTGATGTATGACTGCCGGTCTACATCTCGGGGATCAGGCCTAAACCAGCAGTCATACATCCTTCTCACAGTCCTGGACTGCTGGCTCCTAATTGCTCACCTGCCTGCCTGTCTGGTTACCATTAACTGCCCCCAACTTCCCATTGGCCTGATCACCCCTCACTGCCTCTGCGTGCTGGCCTGATTACCCCTAACTGAACCCCCTGCCAGCCTGGTCACTCCTAACTGCCCCCTCCCCCCACTGGCTTGGTTGCCCCCAACAGCCCCCTCTGCTGACCTAGTCTCTCCCAACTACCTGCCTGCCAGCCTGGTTGTCCCCAACAGCCTTCCTGCCGGCTTAGTCACCCCTAACAGCTCCCCTGCTGGCCTTGTTCCTCCCAACTACTCCCCCTGCGGGTGTGGTTGCCCCCAACAGCTCTCCCGCCGGCCTGGTTGTCCCAGGCAGCCTGCTTGTTGAGTTGTTTGGTAGTCCCTCATTAACCCCCTGCCAGCCTGGTTTCCCCATGCAATCTGCTTGTTCAGTCTTTTGGTCGTCCCTTGGGCCGGCCTTGGGCATTGACTGGACAGCTGACATCTGAGGCTTTCCTGCACCTCAGGCTTTCCTGCTGGTGGCCTGAGGGTACTGGGCACTGCCATCTTGTGGCTGTGGGCACCACCATTTTTGAAGGTGGGGCAGTCAATTAGCATCCCTCCTTATTGGCTATGGGTGCTGTCATCTTTGCAATGGCACGAAAGTCGATTAGCATGTTAAATCTTTATTAGGTAGAATGTTTTATACAGTAAGTGGGTAACAATTACAATAAAATAAGACAGTTGTAATAATACACTCTAATAGAAGTTATGTGAATAACTTTGGGGCCATTATTAAGTGAAATAAGGGTTATTTGAACACTAAAGACCTGTTTCACGAAGATTTGTGCAATAGGCCTTCTTTCTCCTGGCTGCTGGCACAGTTTTACTCTGGCACCCAGGACCCAACCTCTCGCTCTGGCCGCTGCCTTCTATCTTTGCTCCAGCTGGAGTCTTCGCTCAGTCTGACTGCAGAGTCTTCACTCTGGCCGGAGCCTTCAGTCTTCTCCACTCCAGCCGGAGCACTGCTCCTGTAGCTCCCTCCACCCCTTGCCTTCCCACTCATATCAGGCATTCTGCTCAGCCGCTCCACTCCTGCATATACAAATTAACCTGCCATCTTTGTTGGGTTAATTTGCAAACTCATGATTGGCTGGTGGGCGTCATGGAGGTAGTCAATTTGTATAATTCCCTTTTATTAGTGTAGTCAAGCACTGTGAAATACTCTATTTACTCTCATTTTTTTTTCTTTTTTAAAATATATTTTATTAAGTTTTTACAGAGAGGAAGGGGGAGGGATAGAGAGTTAGAAACATCAATGAGAGAGAAACATTGATCAGCTGCCTCCTGCACACCTCCCACTGGGGATGTGTCCGCAACCAAGGTACGTGCCCTTGACCGGAATCAAACCTGGGACCTTAGAGTCGGCAGGCCTACGCTCTATCCACTGAACCAAACAAGTTTCGGCTACCCTCAGTTTTCTTGATCTTCTGTCTGATCTCTTTGCCTGCCTTTATAGTAAAATTCCTAACGAAAGTATAAGTGTTCTCCAATCCCTCTTCTCACTTTTTTGTTTAACAGCTTTATATGTAACAAGCTGCACATATGTAAGGTGTGCACTTTTATAAGTTTTAACAAAATGCAGACATGTTAAATTGCAAGTACAATAAAGGTAATAAATGTTACCCATCATCCCAAGAGATTTCTTGTGTCCTCTGTTAAATCATCTATCTTATAACTTCTCCTCTATTCTCAAGCAAACACTGATTTGCTTTCTGTCACTATGAAATAGTTTGCATTTTTTAGAGTTTTATATGAATGGAATCATACTATTTGTATTCTTTTTTGGTCTTCTTTGAGCATAATTATTTTGAAATTCATCCATGTTGTGTGTATCAGTTTATTTTCTTTTATTGCTGAGCAATATTTTGTTATATGTATATTTAAAAACATTTTTTATATATTTTAATTTTTTATACCAGTTTTACTTCAGAGCAAAATTAAATCGAAAGTACAAAGTACCCCTTATGCCCTTCACTCTAACCTCCCCCTCTCCTTCTAGGATGATCAACAAATCATTATCTCCTACCAAAGTGGCACATTTATTACAATGAACCTACACATCATTATCACTTAAAGGCTATAGTTTACATTACAGTTTACTGGTAGTGGTGTACATTTTGTATCTCATCAAATGTATAATGAATGGCATGCATCTGCCAATATAGTATTATACTGAGTAGTTTCATTGCTCTAAAAATTCAGTGTTCCACTTATTCATTTCTCCCACCCCTCAAACCCCTTACCATCACAGTCTTTTTGTTTTTCAGCTTTGTCTTTTCCAGAATATCATATAGTTGGAATCTTAACCTTTACAGATTGGCTTTTTTTTTTTTTTTAAACAGGTGCATTTTAAGGTTGCTTTAGGTCTTTTTGTGGCTTGATAGCTCAGTTCTTTATAGCACTGAGTAATATTCCTTTGGATATACCATAACTTATCCATTCACCTATAGAAGGGTACTTCGGTTGCTTCTACATTTAAAAATTATGAAGCTGATAGAAACATCGTGTGCAAGTTTCCTTATGGACATATGTTTTCTACTCATTTGGGCAAGTATCAAGGAAAACAATTGCTGAGTCTCATTATATGAATATATTTAGTGTTGTAGAAACTGTCAAACTTTTCCAAAGTGGCTGCACCATTTTTCATTCTTACCAGCAATGAATGGGGTTCCTATTGTTTCATGTTCTTGTCAGCATTTGGTGGTGTCAGTGTTTAGATTTCCACCATTTATATTTACCATCTGTATATCTTTTTTGTAAGGACCTTTTTATTAGTATAGATGAATGAGATTATGTTGTATTTTTCTTTCACTGGCTGGCTTATTTCCTTAGCATAATGCTCTCCAGTTCCATCCATGCCATTGCAAATGGTAACAATTCCTTCTCTTCTATAGCAGTGTAGTAATCCATTGTGTAGATGTACCACAGTTTTCTAACCCACTCATCTGCTGATGGGCATTCAGGCTGTTTCCAAATCTCATATATTGTAAATTGTGCTGCTATGAACATAGGGGTGCATATATCCTTTCTGATTGGTGTTTATTTTTTCTTGGAATGTAGCATTCCTAGAAGTGGAATCGCTGGGACAAATGGCAGTTTCATTTTTAATTTTTTGAGGAAAAAACAAGGTTTTCCACAGTGGCTGCACCAGTCTGCATTCTCACCAGCAGTATATGAGGGCTCCTTTTTCTCAGCATTCTCTCCAGCACTTGTCCTTTGTTGATTTGTTGATGATAGCCATTCTGACAGGTGTGAAGTGGTACCTCCTTGTTTTGATTTGCATTTCTCCATTAACTAGTGACTTTGAACATGTTTTCATATGTCTCTTGGTTTTCTGAATGTTCTCTTTTGAAAAGTGTCTATTTAGGTCCTCTGCCCATTTTTTATTGTATTGTTTATTTTCCTTTTGATAACTTGTCTGAGTTCCCTCTAAATGTGGAAGATTAAACCCTTATTGGAGATAACATTGGCAAATATGTTCTCCCAGCAGTGGGCTTGCTTGCTTGTTATTTTGTTGATAGTTTTTTGCTGTGCAGAAGTTTTTTATTTTGATGTAGTCCCATTTGTTTATTTTCTCCTTAGTTTCCATTACCCTAGGAGATGTATCATTAAATATATTGCTAAAACAAATGTCTGCTATTTTGCTGCTTATGGCTTCTTATAAAATTTTAATGGTTTCCCATCTTATATTTAAGTCCTTGATCCATTGTGAGTTTTTGTGTAGGGTGTAAGTTGGTGGTCTATTTTCATTTTTTTGCAATTTTCTGTCCATTTTTCCCATCACCGTTTATTGAAGAGTCTTTCTTGATTGCATTGTATTGTCTTGCCTTCTTTGTTAAATATTAATTGCACATAATAGCTTTGTTGATTTCTGGGTTCTCAGTTCTGTTCCACTGGTCTATATGTTGTTCTTGTGCCAGTTCCAGGCAGTTTTCAGAAAAGTGGCTTTGTAGTATAGCTTGATATCTGGTATTGTGATCCCTCCAACATTGTTCTTCTTTCTCAAGATTACTGCAGCTATTTGGGTGTTTTTTTTTTTTATTCCAGATGAATTTTTGGAGAATTTATTCTAGGTCTTTGAAGTATGCCATTGGTATTTTAATGGAGATTGCATTGAATTTATAGATTGCTTTGGGTAGTATGAATATTTCAATGATGTTGATTCTAGCAGTCCATGAACATGGTATATTTTTCCATTTATTCTTGTCTTCCTCTATCTCTTTTTTCAGAGTTCTGAAATTTTCTGAGTACAGTTCTTTTATCTCCTTGGTTAAAATTATTCCTAGGTATCTCAATTTTTTGTTGTTGTTGTAATGGTAAGTGGGATTGCTTTTTAAATTTCTTTTCCTGTGATTTCATTATTGGTATATAGAAAAGCCATAGATTTCTGGGTGTTAATTTTGTGTCCTGCTACATTGCCGAATTCATTTATTAAATCTAGTAGTTTTTTTTACGGAATCTTTGTTGTTTTCTATGTACAATATCATGTCATCTGTGAGTAAGAACAGTTTTACTTCTTCTTTTCCAATTTGGATGCCTTTCTTCTTTTTGTTTGGTCGCAATGGCAAGTACTTCCACTACTATGTCGAACAGGAGTGGTGAGAGTGGGCATCTCTTTCTTGTTCCTGTTCTTAGTGGAAATGGTTTTAGTTTTTGACTATTGAGTGTGATATTGGCTGTGGGTTTGTCATATATTGCTTTTATGTTTAGTTATGATCCTTCTATTCCCACCTTACAGAGGATTTTTATCAAGAAAGGGTATTGGATTTTGTCAATTGCTTTTTCTGCATCAATGAATATTATTATATGGTTTTATTTCTGTTTGTTTATATGGTGTGTCACATTTATTGATTGGTGGATATTGTACCATCCTTGCATCTCTGGAATAAATCCCACTTGGTCAATGTGTATGATCTTTCTAATGTATTGTTGGATTCAATTTGCTAGAATTTTTGTTGTTGATTTTGGCGTCTATGTTCATGAGGGATATTGACCTGTAATTCTCTTTGTATTGTCGTTATCTGATTTTTGGGATTAGAGTAATGCTGGCTTTGTAGAAACAGATTGGACGTGCTCCCTTCCTCTTGAATTTTTTTGGAATAGTCTGAGGAATATATGTTTTATTTCTTCTTTGAATGTTTGGTAAAACTCTCCTGTGAAGACATCTGGTCCAAGGCTTTTGTTTGTTGGAAGATTTTTTATTGCTTAAATTTCCTCTATAGTTATTGGACTATTCAGATTTTGTTAATCCTCTTGGTTGAGTTTTGGAAGGTTTTATTTTTTTAGGAATATTTATATTTCTTCTAAGTTGACCAGTTTGTTGGAGTAGAATATTTTTTTTTAATAATTCTTCGTATTTCTGTGGGGTCTGTTGTTATTTCACCTCTTTCGTTTCTGATTTTATTTGGGTCCTCTCTCTTTGCTTCTTGGTGAAACTGGCAAGAGGTTCATCGATCTTGTTTAACCTTTCAAAGAAGAAGCTCTTGGTTTCATTGATCTTATGTATTGTTTTTTTGTTTGTTTTTCGTTTTTTATGTTTTTGGTCTCTATGTCATTTACTTCCACTCTGATCTTTATTATTTCCTTACTTCTGCTCACTCTGGGATTCTCTTGTTGCTCTCTTTCTAATTCTTCAAGTTGCAGAGTTAGATGGTTTATTATCAGTTTTTCTTGTTTTTCTGAGGTAGGCCTGTAATGCTATGAATTTCCCTCTCAGTACTGCTTTCATTTGTGTCTCAAAGATTTTGGATTGTTGTGTTTTCATTGTTGTTTGTTTCCAGGCTGTGTTTTATTTTTTTCTTTGATCTATTTGGTAACCCACTCATTTTTAATAGTATGCTCTTCAGCCTCCAAGTGTTTGAATTTTTGTGATTGTTCTTGCTGTATTTGATTTCTAATTTTATGCCATTGTGATCTGAGAAGATACTTGATTTGATCTCAATCCTCTTGGATTTGGAGAAACTTTGCCTGTATCCCAATATGCTGTCTATCTTTGAAATTGCCTCATGTGTGCTTGAGAAGAATGTATATTCTGTAGTTTTATGATAGAATGTTCTAAAGATGTCAGTTAAGTCCATCTGATCTAGTGTGTCATTTAGGATTGAAGTTTCTTTGCTTTTTTTTTTTTTTTGTCTAGAGGATTTATCCAGTGATGTTAATGGGGTGATAAAGTCTCCTACTATGATTGTGTGCTGTCAATCTCACCACTGATACCTTCCAGAAGTTGTTTTTTTTTTGTTTTTTTTTTTTGTTTTTTTTTATGTATTTGGGTGCTCCTGCATTGGGTGCATAAATGTTTACCAGGCTTATATCCTTATCTTGTATAGATCACTTTAGAATTATGAAGTGACTTTTATTGTCTCTTGTTATGGTCTTCACTTTGAGGTCTATTTTGTCAGGTATAAGTATTACATGAGCCCAGGTTCTGGCGCCAGTCTTTCAGCTAAGTGGCGCTTCTGCTGTGGGAGTGTACTGACCACCAGGGGGCAGCTACTGCATTAAGCATCTGTCCCGTGGTGGTCAGTATGAATCACACCTACCAGCCGGTCATCTGGTTGTCCAGTTGACCCATCACTTATATATATGCATTGTATATGTTGGTCTGTGAATTTTCTTTTTTTTAATAAATATTTATTCAGTTATAGTTACTCTTTTTCTCTCCCCCCTCCCCCCATGGCTCCCCTCTACCCGGTTCCCACCCCACCTCCATGCCTTTACCCATCCCCCCCGCAGTCCTCATCCATAGGTGTAAGATTTTTGTCCATTCTTTTCCCCCATACCCCCACACCCCCTTTCGCCTGAGAATTGTCAGTCTACTCCCTTTCTATGTCCCTGGTTCTATTATATTCACCAGTTTATTCTTTTCATCAGATTTTTTATTCACTTGATTTTTAGATTCACTTGTTTATAGATATGTATTTGTTGTCATTTTGTTCTTCATAACTTCTATCTTTACCTTTTTTTTCTTCCTCTTCTTAAAGAATACCCTTCAGAATTTCATATAATACTGGTTTGGTGGTGATGAACTCCTTTAGCTTTATCTTATCTGTGAAGCTCTTTATCTGATCTTCAATTCTGAATGATAACTTTGCTGGGTAGAGTAATCTTGGTTGTAGGGTCTTGCTATTTATCACTTTGAATATTCTTGCCACTCCCTTCTGGCCTGCATAGTTTCTGTTGAGAAATCAGCTGACAGTCTTATTGGTACTCCCTTGTAGGTAACGGTTTTTCTCTTGCTGCTTTTAATATTCTCTCTTTGTGTTT